TTTTTTTTTTCAATTTCCATTTAAAACAAAAAAAAATAAAATTTGGTGTAATTTTGAAATGCGCGCCTTTGGTTACGCTTCATAGTTTGATGTATAGATGGCAGTGAAATTCGAAGTTTTCTTTGCCAATACCATTTATATATATATTCCAAGTGTCGTCTACTAATGTGGGGTAAACTTAGATGTCACTACTATCGTCCAAATCTCGAGAGTTTTACATCTATTTACCTAGTCTAGGGGGTGGACACTGGCGCTAAAAAGCGGAACTAAGAGTGAGCGAGAGGGAGTGGCTAATTGTAGAAGGTGACAGGGCCTTCGGAAACGGTCGTTCGGCTTCGGGACGAAGTTGAAGAGTGTTGAAATGGTGGGGTTTGCGTGGCCTGTCACTGAGGTCCGGAGATTTGCAGCGAATGAGATTGCAGCCTCAGAAAGAGAAGGTAAACCGGTTTCTTTCAAATTTGGGTGTTTCTGACGAACCAGAGATAGTTTAGTGCGGAACGAAGAATCCGCATGTAGGTGCCTTGAAGAGGTTTCAAGCAGTGAGGAAGAGCGCAGCCACAGACGGGAATGGCGTAGGAGCAAATGCTTCTGATTATTGCGTTAAACGCATGTATTTTCGTATGTTGGGCGATAGAGTGGTTTCGGAATAAAGGCTTAAGTGCGATGAATGCACCCATTGCCTTGTTACGGGTAGTTACGATGTGGGGCCGCCTGTTTAGGGTCTTGTTGAAAACGACGCCTAGGTAGGTGATAGAGTTGCTCTACTTGATGGGACGGTTGTTTACTAAGATGGAGGGAGGTTTTCGGGACCTACGAGAGAAGAAAATTGCTTCCGATTTGGTCTCGTTAATGGAAAGTTTCCATTTTCGGTACCAATTTAGAAGCAGGGGCAGAAACTTATTAATTCTCCCTGTGCATTGTGAATGATTTGGGCGGAGTTTATGAGGACAATGTCGTCCGCGTAGAGAGCTGTCAAAATAGAAGTGTCGGAGGGCATGTCCGCACAGAACAGGTTAAATAGAATAGGTGATAGTTGGATTGCGGGACACCAGCAGTGACGGGTTTACTGGCAGAGAGAACAGAGCCGACGCGAACCCGAAGGCTTCTGTCTGTGAGAAAGGACCTGATAACCCCAACTAAAAAATGTGGAATGTAAAGGGCGATGAGTTTTGAGGTGAGGCCTTCGTCCCAGACTCGGTCCAACGCTTGTTGGACGTCAAGAAGAAGCATGGAGATGTGACGCCGCTTGTTAAGGTTGTCGGAAATGTATTCACATAAGCGAAAAAGTTGGTGACCGGTACCGTGATGCCTGCGGAAGCCGTGTTGATGATCGGGGAGAAGGTTGTTTTGTTCCACGTGGTCTAAGAGCCGATCGAGAAGGATTGATTCAACTACTTTGCTCAACGAACTGAGCAGGCTGATGGGCCTGTAGCTTGAGGGGGCTTCCCTTCTTTGGGGAGACAGATGACAGTAGCTTCTTTCCAGACAAAAGGGAAGTGATGAATCCGCATGATGGCGTTTGTGATGTTGCACAGTGCGGTTATGTGCTTTGGCGGCAGGACTTTGAGGACTCCGTTTTGAATTCCAACAGCGCCAGGGGCTTTCCTCTTTTTCAGAGAACGGATAGAAAGGGAGATTTCATGGGGAGAAGTGTGTCTGAAGTCGGAATTTAGGGGAACGAAGTTCTTGGAGATGGCTTTGGTATGCTCGTGAAAGTCGACAAGGTCCGACTAGGTAGTGGGGAGCACTGGAGACATAATGAATCTGCGAAGATTGCAGCTAGATTAGGTAGAGACGTTCTGTTATAGTGGCGGAAGATGGGGAGCTCTGTTATGAAGAGAACGGATCACTTTCCAAGTGCTTCGGGTGTGTGTTTCTGCCTGAGGGATATAACCATCGAAGGATGCGCTGCGGAATTCAGTGAGACGAGTTTTTAGTTCTCGTTGAAGGGCGTTTACTTCTGCACGGTGTGTGGTGTCTATTTCACAGACGTCGGACCTTGTTTTTCCTCTTAAAGAGGTCAAAAATATCTGCGAGGAGGGTTCTGTCTTTGGTGGGCGTGGGGCGGGAGATAGTAGAGAGCTCGATAGCGCTGGTAATCTCGTTTGAAAGGAGATTCACAGCTTCGTGAAGTTCCGCTATTGTGCGAATTGGAGTGCACTT